ATTACTCCAAAATATCCTTTAGAGAGAGAACTTTTAGAGGGATGTTTGGCTTGTCTTTCCTGCTCCAGTGATGTTCTCAAATACATGCAGCCCACGGGACTCAGGAGTCTGCTGTCTCTGTTCATCAGCTGAGCCACACATTAAAAATTTAGTCTGATTTTGTTCAAATACAAGTAAAGGGCATAATCCCATAACCAAAGAACATTAAAGGTTAATAGCTGTTGTGCTTATCCAGACCTCACTCAGGACATACACCTTTGGGCCTAAGTTGCCTGAGTGTTGCCATAACTACTCCTGAAGATCTCTGTCCACTTTTTGCCAGTGCTGGTGTAAGATATGCAACTGATCTCTCCACAGAAATGAGATGGAGCTTGGTTGTTCCATTACATAAACCAACAGACTTTGAGAAATCAGTTCTGTCCTGGACCAGGAGCTGCCCACATCCCATGGGGAAACACAAGCAGTCCCAGATAACAAGAAATCTAGAATATTATTGAGTAGATTGCCCATCAGCTGAAGCTGCCAGGATGTAAAATGAGGATGGACTGGTTTGGGTCTCATCCTGCAGCAATATGATCTAGGAAATAGGCATAGCAGAACTCTTTTTAGGCTACCTGCTCCTGTTCTCTATAGAAAAGCTGCTTGATTCTCTCTCTTCCTCACACAGGACAGACTATAAACCCATAGCAAAAACAGTCATGAAGAGCTATTCATTACTGCAGTGACCCAGCTTCTTATAATAATCTAGACCTTCTTGCATTCTTGCTTACATGTTTCTCCTGCAATCTTAGTGACATGGCAGTCTTGGAAAAGCTAAAATCTGTCCCAGGATCTGTCATTTTTCTTATTCTCAAAGTGATATTCCTGTAGTTTGCAGAATAACTACAGCAGAGGGTTGTAGATTACACTGTGGCTTTAAGTTGCAAGTGCCTTAATCTTAACTGTATCAACTTCATCCCTAAGGTTAAGTGACAGATTCTCTTGTTTGTCCAGAGTCAGTTCTGGTGTCACTGGCATCGTGACCGCCCTGGCAAACCCCCAAAGGCAGATTGCTGCTCAACTTACAGACAAGCTTCACAAGGACTGAATAGATCCATGAGCCACAGCAAGACCTTTGACCTGATGGATACATGAAGACAGGAATGAAAAGCTGTGACATGGTTTTCAGCTTTGCTTAAATTCTTGAAGCAACATAGCAGAGTCAGGGAGCACTGAAAAAACTACTGTGGGAGCTCTTCAGCCCAAGACCCAGCACCATCCAGGAACCTTCCTTCTGCAGTGCAGTATCCCAGAAGCTGAACCATGCAAATCCAGGTCAAAAGCAGGAGCTAAGAATGGTTTCCCCACAGACAAGTCCCAAGTAGCAGATGCACATCACCTCTAGCTGAACTGTAGTTACGCATTCTTAATGAGACTTAGGGACAAAGCAAGCAGAGAAGTGATCTTACAGCAGGTGGCTCACACAGAATTAAGGTCCAGACCTCTCTAGCTAGGTCTGGACTGGTCCTAGTTGAGTGGCTTGGATGTTTTTGTTGTTTTGGTTTTCTCTTTTATTTTTAAAATGGGTTATTTCCACTCAGTCCCTCTTTCAAGGTAGTGTGCTGTTTAAATGGGGTTATTGTCTTTGTGTTTTCATGCTAGAAGAGAGGTTTGCAGAATAGAAATTGTTTCAAGAGTTGATTCACATGTTGATCTGTAAAACAACAAAACAAGAAGAGCTGTTCCTCACTTGTATCTAGCTTGTGAGTCAGCTTTAAGTTTTTTTCCTTTTAATTACTTGAACAAATGTGGTTTCTCCAAAGAAACTGCCTGATGCCCACAGATTCATTTAGCCTTCCTGGGACCTGTTCTTTGCATGCAGCTTTATCACAGTGTGGTGAGGAGTTGGGTGGGCAGAAGCAAGTGTGTCCTAGTGCAGTTGGGGAATCCACACTGAGAAACCATCAGCAATGACAGCTCTGAGTCTCTGCAGTAGCATGGAAACATGGAGAGGATTTGCATCCAGCATTATTTACTTCCTTCTGTGGTGGGCTTCACCAAAGGGACTGCAGACTTAACCACCCCATACAGGAGCTGATGGATGCCTTGTCCTAGAGAGAGAGATTTTTTGTGTTAAAGTGAGTTCCAACTGAAAGACCAGCATCTAAACAGTGTTTCAGGGTGTGCAAGATGACACCAAGAAACTCGACACTCATGCTCACTCCAGGTCTTTAGGACAAGCTGCCTTCTGATCACTTGCCTGTCCTCTACACTGTAGAAAGAGAGCAGGATAGAAATTATTACCTTTACATGCTGATTTGAGAAAATGTATCAGTGTCAGCCCAAAACAAGCCATGAAATTGAGAGTTATGGACAAATGAATTGTGCCCCCAGGTCTTCATAGCCAGAAAGTGGAAGTGGTGCTGGGTTGATCAGTTTCCTTCTGGCTCACCTGGTGACTTGCAGGAGCTGCACACCTGATCAGGGAAAGGCTGGGAACTGAGCCAGGCTCCTCAGGGGAACATGCAGCCAGAAGGAATAGCCATACAGCATTCAAGTTGCTGCTAGTTCAGCGTGTGGTAGATCGTGGAAAGGTGTTTGATGCTGAGGTGCAAAAAGATGTAAGATAGACTGTCCTGGAGTGCAGTGTGAGGACAGTTTCTCTGTGTCAGCTGGCTCAGTAAATTTAACTCAGAAACCAGCAGAAATTTAGCATCAACTTTTTCACTAAACTCAGTAAAGCACTTGAGAACATATACCACATCTGAAATGAAAATGTTGCTTGTTGCAGCAGACCTCTCGTTAGGGTAGAAATGAGCCAAGACACAGACTCTCATTTAACAGCATGAAAAGGGTCTCAGTTTATTCTTCTTTACAGTTCAGCCATCCTGACTCCAACTACAGCAAGCTCCTGTTGTTGGCTTCTCTGACAGCCCCTGACTGCTGGCTGTTCCTGCTGGAATGTGACTGCAAGTATTTCCTTGCTGCCTCTGACCACAGGCTCGACTGTGGCTGCAGGCTCCAACAGCAGGCTCAAACTCCATCAAACCCAGACTGACCTCACAGCAAATCTTCTGCAGCAGCAGCAACTTTCTTCCTAGTTTTGTTCTTCATTTTGTCTCTCTGGATCTTTCCTTCTTCCTCGGGGCTGCTGTACCCACAGGCTCTCCCTGACCAGCCCACCCCTTCTATCACACTTATCTTTATTAGTCACTGCTGTGACCCATTAAGGGCAGCAGAACCCATTAAGGTTCTTCTTCTCTGGTAATTAGTACAACTGTGAATTACCAGGGGTGAGGTCACTTGTAATCCCTTCTGCTACATATACAGTTACCGATGGAAATTATATTTTATTCAAATTTCTGTTCATTTTTGCAATGCAGAAGAAAGCAACTGGGCAAAACTTATAACAAGAGAGAACACCAGTAATGCACTAGAATTAATTCCTCTTTGCTACCAAAGGATGGATAATATGGATCTAAGACATAGAAGCAGTAGCAAACCCAAAACTTCAGCATACTGACTTTGATATTGTTCTAATGTAGAAGAAAAATAGGCCAAAAAAATATTACACATATTATATGACATGCAGCCCATTAATCTGTAGTTTTAATTGAAATAATTCTCAGCACTCTAAATTTTAGCTAACATTTCAGGTTAGAAATCTGAATTTTATTTTTTCTGATCAATTTTTTCACCTATCAAATAAGAAAATTCACAAAAAAAACTGTCCTGAAATCTGTTTTTGCAGCAGTTCAATGGGACAGTAAAGATTAATAAGGATTGCTGGGCTGAACAATGGAGAAGTTGAATAACTGGACCATTGCACATTTCTTTGTAGGAAATCAATTACTTGGGTTCTTCTTGATCATTGGGGTTAAAGGGATAGTAGAAGCCAAGAAGACATTAGGACCTTTTAATGATTAATAGTAGCTTTTGAGTATATTTTTGGCACTGTAACACCGGGTGTTCATTTCTAATTACTTTGAAGAGGGAAAAGACAGGGAAATACTTTTCTGTCTTTATCAAACTGCATCAGAGAGAAGAGCACAAAAGTGCTCCAAGCTTTTCTTAAAGATTCACTTCATTACTCCCATTTTCTGTTATTTCTCTGGGATTTTTTCCATTTCTCTGGCTAGTGACCACGCAGCCGGTCTTTGACAGGCCCAGAAGTTCACAGATTGCCATGTTCCCAAGGGAGACATGAGCACACAGGAGTGAACATGACTTAGGGAAACATTTATATGCACCTGGGTTTCAATCAACCCCTTGTTTCTTTCCCTTGCTCTGCATATGTACAACATCTGATTCCTGGCACCCAGGACCTACTGACTACTTTTATTATTCATAGCTTCACTTCATTTGCATAAATGAATATTTGCTAAGAACGTCTTACCCCCTTAATAACACAGTAATGAGGGGTAAGGGTTAATGGTGCTTTCTTGCCAGTACACACAGGGTAAAAGCTGTCACTGGGATTCAAGGAAACAAGACTCAGCAGGGATAGTGGTGCCAAGGTGCATTTGTAGTAGCTGAAATCTTGTGTCATTCTGGTGTTCAAGATTCTTACACTAGAAACCAAAGGGTATAAAAATGTTTGGCCACATTACATTAAAGTGTTATGGTAAAAGAAAGATGCCATATGATAAGCTGTTGTGGGGACTGAATGTTTTGTGTTCTATCTATGAAAATTGGATGTCACCTAGAGAAACAAGGCAGAGTAATGTCAAACTCAAATCTGTTCACATTACCCCATTAGTTATCCCAAACATTTTCAGTATTCTCCAAAGAATAGGAGTTGTGTTCTCAGAATGCCCAGCACATATGTGCTTTATTAAATAGCAATCAAATTATTTGTTTGAGAAATGAAGAACTGAACCACTGTGAATTATCTTGGATTATTTTTTCCCGAGTAACTGAACATATTTGAGTATGAGTGTTTGATAGTGGATTTTTAGTGCACTTTTACATGACTACATGCATGATCCTGTGTGTTGTTGTTTTTTCATTCCATTTTCCAGCTGCCTGCCCCGTTCTGTGCAGTGGCAATGGTCAGTACTCCAAAGGCACCTGCTTGTGCTACAGTGGCTGGAAAGGTCCAGAATGTGACGTGCCCATCAGCCAGTGCATTGACCCTTCATGTGGAGGTCATGGCTCCTGCATCGAAGGGAACTGTGTCTGTTCTGTGGGCTATAAAGGAGAAAACTGTGAGGAAGGTAGGATATATTTTTTTCTCTATTGTTAGTTTGTTTTCTGGGTTTGGGAATTATTTAATGGCTAGGAAAAAAGGAATGAATAGAATAAAAATCTGAGCATAAAACTTCTGTAGCAGGTACAAGATGGTAAAAATGTAGTCCACCACAATTTTACTGATCTATCAGAGTTCAGACCAAACTTCAGGCCTTCTGTATACATTGCTTTGAAGTATTAAGAGTGTCTGCCACAAGTAAACCTGAATAATTCCTTTGTTGAAGAGCAAAGAAAAATCTTTTCTTGTGGATTATGTTTACCGAACAATTTAGATGAAATGCTGAGGGAAAAGGAGCAGTGGTAGACAAAATTGTATAGCTTCAACTTCACACAAAGCACATATCAATCACTATTAAGACAGAAACTGATGAAAAATATTTGCAGGACTTGGATATCCATGTTACTTACAGACTTAATGTGGAGCAAATTGCTCCTGTTGGCTGCAATCATAAGGAAAATAAGGATTAAGGAAAGGTAGATGGCACACACGAACAATAACGGTCCTTTAAATGCAGAAAAGCTTTTCAGATTCAAAGTGTCCAATTCCTTGAGTATGTAGAATGAACAAATTTTTAAAAATAACCATGCAAAATGTGGTCATAGATTAAGTTCAATAATGGTTGTTTTCTATTAGAATGCACAATGTAAATTGGACTGCTTTTCTTTTTAAAATATATTACTGTGCTCCAGAGTTTATTAATCCTCCAGAGAATCAGCTTGAGTACTAAAGTGATAGGGCTGGGATGTCATGCTGTTAGGATTGAGGAATCTGTCAGGATTATTCTGAATGGGTTGCAGAGGTGTATTGATACTGTGTGTATCAATTTTCATCTTACCCTCTAGTGAACAGCTGTCTCTCCCATCAGAAAAGAAAGGGAAGAAAACTGTGGATAAACAAACCACTAAGGGTTTTACTGTCAGGATCGCAGTCATCACCTTTAGGACAAGATCTGGCATTAGTCTGAGTGAATTTGTGGAAAAAGGAAAAAAAAAAGACAAAGAAAGAAACCAAGGATCCTCACTGGTGGGACTGCAATTGTTTGTTCAGTTCATTCCTGTCATCTTCTTCCACTAAATCCTCTCAACACAGGTTGTTAGAGCTTTTCTCCAGAATTGAGTTGAAGCCAAGACTTTTGCGTTGTTTTTGACAGATTACATTTTAAACTATATCCAGAAAATGCTGTAATGGTTTTTTTTCCCTTAGAATTTATAGTTCTGAGTTCACCCTGAGTGTGTGATACTAGGAGATATTCAAAAATTATCTGAAATGCCTTACTTTAACTATCATTCTCATGAAAATCAAAGATGGAAAATACTGTCTTTAACATGCCCTACAGCACCCAATCTGTTCCCCAGGACTGCAGAACCTCTCTTTCTGGTACTAACTGCAATTGTTTGCTTGGTCTCATTAAGTTTTATACATTTCATCATATTTTCTGTTGTTGTATAAATGCTTGTGTTATTAGAGAGATTATGGTATATGGCCTAAAATGATCTTTGTTTCTTTTAATTCATGACATTTTACCTTGCAAGCCATTCCTCTCTCACTTTGATTGTAATTTCCAGGTACTTGCATGGAATTCTCTCTCTGCTTTCAGTTCTCTAGAATGGCTGTGGTCTGTCTGGGCCATGGATCCCCATGGATCTATCTACCTTGGATCCCCAAACTCCTGTAAGAGAAATAGGCTCCTGTAGTGCTTAATCCATCTTATTCTCAGGTGAATGTTTGGAACGGTGAAGCAGAGACATCTGCAGCTCCAGAGGAGTTTCTAGAAAAAGCCAGTGCAGGCATTTTTGCAAAGGTATTGGGTTAACTCCAGCCAAAATTGGGAGCACAACAAATCTGTCAGTCAACAGAGCTTTTTGGGAGGTGAATGGCTGTGTGAGATGAAAGGATATACATTATTTAATCAACACTGTGCTCGGAAGGATACGTTTCTTCCTAAAAAGTTAAATGGATTACAAAGGCGGGAGGTATTGATTGCAGACTTGGAAGGGGCCAATAACATGACAAGAAAGGTTAAAGCAACCTTTTGCATATATGATTGGGCAATAAATAAGTCAATTAATTAATTTGCAAATCAAGAATGATCAACCACCATGTTTCTACTCTGAAATTCCATTTTTTTGGTACATATTTCTCACATTAATCGCGTGCTATGTGTGAAAAGATACACTGTGAAGTGGTGTCTCTCTAATTAATCCTCTAGTCTTAGTTAAAGTTTTTGCATTAATAGAAATTTTACACTTTTAATAGTAGAATTATAGAAATAATACTTCTATATTTATATATAATATATGAAATCTCCTCTATTGATTTGAACTTCCAAAAAGAATGGCAAAGGTCGATTCATTTGCCATTTTCCAACTAGGATATTGAATTAGAATAAGTGGGTCAGCAATTTTTTTTTTCTTCCCAATAGCTTTTTATTTCTGATATTCATCATGGTTATATTGTTCAAACAATTTACCTGAAATGAAAGTGACACAAAAATCAATATTTTTGATGCACAATTTTTGCAGCATAAACACTGTTTTTCTATTAACAAATTTGCACAGAAGATGAAGTGGGGTATTTGTCAGGCTTCATTCAGTCTACTTTGGGGGGGGACACAAGTGAAATTGCCAAATTAGGTTAAGTTAAGGGTGGTTTTCTTGTCACTTTCCAGGTTGAGTCATTTTTCAATGACATTTAACTTTGTAAGTGTAATTCATGGCTCTTTGGGGACTTCGTGGTACATATTGTTTGAAAAACTCCTTGACCTCCTTTTTGTCCTTAAGGATATAAATTGCTTTCAGTACCTTTTTTTGTCAAATCTACAGAGGGCCCAATACTAAATGAGCTCTAATGATCTGAGCTGCCGGGAGGCTGCGAGTTCCAAGCCTAACACACTTGCTAAGGTGCATTCTCCTTTGTTTAAACACCAAAGATGGTCCATGTATAAATCCTGATTAAATACCATTGTAAACCCTGCTGCACCTCAGGGCCAGAACCTCTGCAGCACAAGTCAGTGCAGTTCTATTGCAGGTAATCACGTTATGCTAATTTCAACAGCGAGGAGCTGGCCCGAGATGATAACTCTGTGCATGTATTAAAATAGAAGGAGATTGGAGCTCAGAGTAAAAACTCTCCTCAGTTTAAACTTTGAAAGCGGCTCCTTACCCCAGTGATAGAACAAAACAGCTGTAAAGCACATTTGTCTGGAACAAAGGACAAAGGTGTTTAGTGTGTTATCCTGTAAAACAAGGGAAACTGGGGGCTTAGGGCATTGATAGGCTCATTCTGTAGAAATAAATCAAAGCTGCATGAGCACTGTAATTCAGGATTGAGGGAAGACAGTTAATTTATGTAGCAGAAGGTGGTGTTTTTCATATGCTCCACATTCCTTTCATTAGTGCTTTCATTTGAGAAGGAAGATGATACATTCCTGACAAGGAGAGTACATTATGACTTATCATTATCTCCTAAAGTTAGCTGTCCTATAACGATGTTATACACGTACTACCCTTCTACATTTTCTGTTAAAATATATATTCTAAAAGAGCCCAGAATAGACCAAATGTTGGGGAGAAGTAACCTTCATCCTTAAAGTAGATTTACCTAAGTTTTTGAGTACTTTACTGCTTTATTCAGTCAGACTGTTTTATCACAGCTCTGTGACCACTGAGTTCAACAGCAGTTGTACAAAAGATGCATTGTAAACTTCAGGCAGATTATAATTTGGCTAAGCACAAAGAAGGAGTAACTATACTGGACAAGCACTATGTGTAATTTAAAACAGTTTATGAATTTATCAACTTTGAGGTGAACCACAAACCAATCTTGGTTTACCTGTAAATACAAAATTGTATTATAATATTTTCATGTCAAATTAACTCAGCTTTAAATCTTAAAGAAAAAAAGAAAAAGCAAACCCAAAATAATAGCCATTTTCATTATTAAAATGAAAATTTTGTAAGAAATTTTACAGTAATTTATTCCTGTAATACTGTATTCTGAATTCTATACTACTGTATTCTGATAACTCATTTTATTGCATCTCTAAATGCACCTGCCTCAATCCTCTGCCTTTATCTAATCTATATACTTGCTTTAAATGTTCTACAACTAAATAAAATAGTTTGACAAGGCTCCATGTTTATAGAAAAGTTGAGATTTGAAAGATAAGTATTGTTCACATCAGATGGAATGAAAACGTCTCTGCCTTAATTTAGAAGGATCAGTTTGGAAAAGATTAGAGATAAATAACTTTCATTATAAACTCAGATCTTCCTGGAGCAGCAAGAGGGAATGCAAATCATTCTTGGTCCTGCTGTTGTGAGCTAATATATACCAGTCATGAGATGAATTCAAGTTATTTAAGACATTAATTTGACCTTGACCTTCAATTCCACAGCAAAAGGTACTTGGCGAAGCCTCCATGTGGATATTGGCAGTAAAACATAGTATTGTTATACAGATTCATGGTTTAAGATAGAAATTTGGAAACTCATAATGTTACTAATAAAGTTCATTTGAAAGACAGCTTGTAACATTCCTTTATAGGACTGAAACAGCAAGTGAAATTCCATTGCATCATTTTCCATTATAACTATTTTCACTTTCTTGTTTCTGGTTTGAATTCCATATCTGTATCTGGTTTCACTTCTTTAAGAAAAACAATCTCCTGGTTTAGAATATGTGTTGAAGTAACCAGGGCTCTCAGTTTCACAGCTTAGCTACTAATGGACCATGGATCAAACATTCAGGAGTGACTAAATGATTAGGAGTCTAAATGAAGCTGAAAGCCACTGACATTCTGACTTCTGTGTACTTGAAGTGGCTGTCCTAATGTTCAAACAATGCTCTAACATTTTAATAGTAATAATAGCAGTTTTTATAAATATACTCCAAATAAAAAATCTTTTAAAACTGCAAATTATTAACTTATTTAGTACTTGAAATACAGTACATGACTCATTGGAGCTTCAGTGTATTTCAGAAGAAATGTCTCCAGGTTTATGTGTGAAGCTCTGACTATATATATTTAAGTGCTATTTTTAAGTCTTCATGCTTCTCCACCACAGCATTCCTGCAGTAAACTGTCATTGCACAAACCCTGCTTGATTTATTTAATATAAAATGTAAATTACTTCACTTTCCCATTCTCAGACCAGGTATTAATTTGACTTGGACAACTCCCTCGGTTTGCTCTGTTTATCACCACGGTCCAGACTTCCCAGAGCACGTTTTCCAAACACCCCCTCGTGTTTTGTGATGCTTCTGCACACGTTTTTTTGTTTCCTCCTGCAGTGGACTGCCTGGACCCGACGTGCTCCAACCACGGGGTGTGTGTGAACGGGGAGTGCCTGTGCAGCCCGGGCTGGGGAGGCGCGAGCTGCGAGCTGCCCCGCGCGCAGTGCCCCGAGCAGTGCAGCGGGCACGGCTCCTACCTGCCCGACACGGGGCTCTGCAGCTGTGACCCCAACTGGATGGGCCCCGACTGCTCCGTTGGTAAGATGTCACTCTTGCACCAAGGATGACACAGGAACAGGCAGGAGGCAGTGTTGCAGAAAGAGCAAAGAAGGTTTTGTTCAAGAGAACCGCGCGGTTTTTATAGAGTGATACGATACATTCTATTTGATTGGCTAATTAACAAAAACACCTTCCTCATACACCGTCCTTGAGAAGGACAGCAAGATGAAGTAGAAAAACACCACCTGCAGATTGTTTATACTGACAAGTTATCACATCCTTACACCGCCCTAAAAATTCTCACAAGCCGCTGTGAGAAACGCTTGCCGTTTCTCTCTCTCTCTGTCCCATTGCATCCACAGTAAGAAAAAGGTTTTTTTCCTCATTTTGCAATCATGTTGCTGTTTTGTTCAAATGTAAATACCTATGGCAAGTTTGAAATGCGGTAATAATTGAGAAAGTTGTCTTTGTTACACAATTGGGCTTGATTAATTTTGTTGGGAAGAACTGTGGATATGCTTCTATATATATTTTCATGACATTCTTAATTTGGTTAGGAGTTTGTGTTTTGTTCTAACATGGATTCTCTTTTAGACTCAAAAAGTTACATAAGTGTACTTCTGTTTCTCAACAGCAAATGAAAATGTTCATCATTTATAGGAGGAAAATACAGGGAATTTTGCTTTTACATTGTCAGTTGAACCTTGAGATGGTGCTGTAGGTCAAAACCAAGTGTCTCACAGCGATATTTACATTTTTCACAGTTATTCAGTTATTTCCTAAGGTTAATCAGCTGGAATACCCTACCAGTGGCATGAATGTGAAGATGTGTTTTCTGCTTTATGGATAAGCAGTCAGAAAAATTCAAGAATGAGAGTTTTGCTGCCACTTTGTTTGGTGATGCATGGGGCAAAAGACCCTTCTACTTATCTGAAACTTCAGCTGGCAGAGAGCAGTAGAATTTTTGGAGTGAGACACCAGATAACTGACCATGTCAGTAATAGGAATACAAAAATCTCTCCTTGGAAAGTGACTTTTACCCATCATTCTAAATGACCCTGAATTGCTGCCATTCTCTGCCAAATGAGTTTTAGGTGAGTTTCAGTCTCAATTCTTAGCAAATCAATAGCTGTCAAAATCACCCGAGGTCCAGGTTTGAGTAGAGCAGAGCCACCTGCTCTCCTCCTTTGCTGTTGGGGACAGCACCTCTGACACTTGTTTGTGTCTGCATGGAGGATGCCGCTCTGTGACTCTGTCCAGTGCACATTAGCAGCTTTTTTTAAACTGACACCTTGGAGTGGCTACCTAGAACAGAGGCTAGACAAGGTTAAGAGAATAAAGTGGGTGTTTATTAAAGACCTTCTATATGAAGGCCTTGGGCAGTTAAAATCATCCAAGTGAGACTACACCCAGGATGGACAATGATCATGAGTTTTTCAGAAAATTTTAAGTTTGGTCCATTTACATATCAGGGGTCAATCCTCCAATTACAGTTTCAGGTAATGAAGTCACATTCCCCCAGTTTGCTCCCCCCAAATTCACTTTTGTTTATACTTTTCATGGCCTAAGACTGTAGGGTGTCCCTGAGTTTCAGGCCTAGAGGAATTCTTTCATCTGAGCAAAATGTGTAAACAGTAGCTAACACTTCACATGGAGTTTAGTTTTGTACTAATGCAGTACAGGATTTGAAAAATATAAAGACATATATATGAAAAAAATAAAGGTGTTTATATTAAAATATTTAAATATATAAAAGCATTTGAAAAACCTTATGGCATCAAAGCAGCTTTCAGTTTAGTTTTGCTTTTAAATACAAATTAAGTGCCGGCTTTCATCAGAATGTGAGCAGGGCAGCTTTTGGGAGTGTGGTTTTGAGCAGAGGTGTTGCTGCGGTGCTCCCTTGCCCCTGCGGCCGGCTGTGACTGCTGTTCTCTCTCCTAGAAGTGTGCTCCGTGGACTGTGGCACCCACGGCGTGTGCATCGGCGGGGCCTGTCGCTGCGAGGAGGGCTGGACAGGAGCGGGCTGTGACCAGCGTGTGTGCCACCCCCGCTGCACGGAGCACGGGACTTGTAAAGATGGGAAGTGTGAATGCAGAGAGGGCTGGAATGGGGAGCACTGCACCATTGGTAGGCAAACGACAGGCACCGAAACAGGCACATATTGCTTTCTTTTCATAAATCGTAGAGACATAGTTATTGTCGTGGACTGTAATGGGCTGTTCCCTTAAGGACCCAGGTGCTCTCAGGTATCAACCCTGACTCAAAATGTGTTGGGGGAAATGCAGGCAGGCTCTTGGAATCATTTCAAATCATTAACAATGATTTGAATCATTAAGGACCCAAGTGCTCTCAGGTATCAACCCTGACTCAAAATGTGTTGGGGGAAATGCAGGCAGGCTCTTGGAATCATTTCAAATTATTAACATTTCAAATCAGTAACAATGATTTTTGTAGATTTTTTTCTTTTTATAGAGAAAAAAAAAACATACAAAAACAACACAACAACAAATTCCACATTAGTAAGTAAAGATGAAACAAATTGTACCATGTGTGATATCAACAAATACAACACGTGGTACTACAGAGGAGATCTCAGTATCATCTGATTCTGAATGATTTTCAAACCTAACTAAGCATTCCTTTGTGTGAATGGCCTCTTGTTCAATTTCCCAGTCTGACCCATCCATGCTGTCCTGCTGTTGTACATCATGTGTGAAACACAGCCCAGCAGCAGCAGCCAGAGCAGGGCTCAGTGCTGGGGAATGTGTGTTCTGCTGGCACAGGAGCAGCTCCTGGCGTTCTCTCATGCTGTGCTGGGACAGTGGCCCTGCTCTTTTCATGGAGACAATGCTGTGAGCCCCTTCCCTGAGAGCCTGCAGCTCACTGCAGCATCAGCATCACAATATCAACTGGGCTCTGCTGGGAAGTTCAAAAAGGTCATCCTTACACAAAGCAGTGATGTTCCATCCTCTCAATTACCAGGCTTGAAAATTTACTTGAATGAGGAATTAATTGTTCCTAAGTGAAGTTCTTTATTTTGTCTCTACAAGGAGGCAGGTAGTCTATTTGGATTGTTTTGAAAATTTACTCAAAGGAGAAAACTATTATTTTCTCTGAGCTATAGTCAAAAATGGGAAATTCTCAGTGATCACATCCCTTCTCAGAAGTCTGAGCATATTTATCTGGAACAAGAGTGTCCCATCTACTGAGACTGTGAGGTTCAGGCAAGTGTGCTTTTCTCCAGAGAATTTTTGGAGAGCTGTGAAGTATGCCTTAGAAGAAATCTGATGAGTCCAAATCCAGAGTCATGTTGTTTTCATTATCTTAAGGTGGTGAATTTAAGAAAGGAGTAGGTCACTTGAGATTTTCGTGGCAGTCAGGGACCCTAATGGGACAGTCCTATTACAAGTGAATTGTTATTTCTTTACTTAAACGTTTGGTGAGATTCTTGCATCCCTCAAGTTGTTTTTCTTTTTCATTCCCCTCTGATTTCTCTTTGGATATACAAACCATTTCCAACACACACATGAGTTGGAAATGAAAAGTATACTCCTATTGGAGAGATTAAAAAAAAAAAAAAAAGAAAAGAAAAATTGATACATATTTTCAGGGCATATCCTTTGATGTTGTGGTGCTGCATGCTTCCTCCACACTGTGCTAATATGATTTAAATCAAAGCTTTTATGACTGAACACTTTGTGACCAGCACAGATGCAGAGTGTTTTTTTCATAATTGCTTTCAGACTTCCATCATATCAACATACCTCTGCTAGATTAATCCAGGCATTTTGTTTTCAAAGTTCTTCCCAGATCTTTACAAAATGCCTAGTATATAATTTTTTCATTAAATTCTGTAATAATTGCTTATTTCAGAAGTTGATGCTTCCTACAAAATTTGTTTTGCTTTATAAGCTCTTAGTAATGTGCCGATGTTTAGAAGTAATTAGTGTATGTAAAGTCTTCATTACTGTGCAGACAAAAAGATGCCTTTTACCAAGATCTCAAAGTAGGCTGGAAACTGGCAGCTGAACTAGTGAACTCTGAAGTGAGATTTTAAACCTAATTTTCAGAGCTTTGAACTAGATATCTTCCTTATTACAGATGTGTCTAATCAATTCTTTTCAGAGGAAGGGTGATACTTCCAAAGTGATTAAAATATGTGTAAGCTTTTTTTGTTTAGTGTATATTACACAGATTTCCTTGAAACTTAATGTGGTCCTGCCTGTGGCAAAGATGAGACTAGTGCAAAAAATTCAGGTATGCCCTTCTAGTTATCATGGATGAAGTTTGTGCAGGCAGAAGTTGTCTGTTGCATGCAGACAGAGATCCTTGTGACAGGCCTGTATCAGCAGGAATTTTCACATGGTCGTGTCCTGAGGCCATTTACAAAAGCACAAAGGCTGATGCCAGGAATGGAATTGAGTTCAGAGGAACAACTCAGTGTGACCCCACTAGTTCGTGTTACATGGAGCTGAAACACAGGGTTCAGAGGAAAAGGATGGTAAAAGTCATTTTTGTCAGCATTGGTACGAAATTTCTAGAAGTTACCACTGGAAAATCTGTGCTTAGAGTGAATTGATACTTTGGTGCAATGATGAGTTGCTCAAGATGTTTTAAACGTTGGTGTGAAAACTAAAGTGCACTTAAATTTTACAGAAACTCAGTATCAGAGTACTGCCCTTATGGTTTCATTTTCAGCTGAAAGTTTGACACAGCATTTAATGTCAGAATTTCTGAGGAGTGTCTGCCTAAAAAGATGCCACAAATTAGTCCTTTCTAAAAGGCACCTGAAAACTGCACAGGCTGTTTGTCCTAAGGCAGGAAATGCAAATCCTGCAGGAGAGGTTATTTACTCTGAATTTCCATTTTTGCTACATCTAGTCTGAAATGAAGCCAGCAGAAAAACTTGCTTTGATTCCAGTGACTTTAGGCCAAGTCCACTTAAAACAAATTGATCTGTGAGGAAGAAAAGGAGATTTCTATATAAAAACCATTTTCTCTTGTTTGTATTTCTTTACCAGTTTCTTTGTGCTATATTTACATGGCAGTGGAAAAGAAATCATCATAGCAAACTGAAGGTATCCAAGTTCATTCAGGATATTTTATCCTATTTAATATCAAATGAGGCTTTAATAGATGCTTGACAGAATGCACACTCCTTGTCATTTCATTGTTGAGTATCTAAGCTCAAAAGTTTTAATAGAAATGCTTTTTTTCCTCTGTTTTACCTGGTTTAAGAAAAGCACTCAGAAAATCCTCCCAGAACAGCAGTGTGAGCTCAGTGCTAGCACAGTGTTTGTGCAAAGCAGATTTTGCTTGTGTGCAATAGAATTATGTGTAAGAATCAATGCAAATAAAAAAGCATGCGTGTTCCAGGTTACTCAGATTTTGATAAATCTATATCCAAATAATATAAAAGTGAGTGGAGTGAGTGTCTGGTCTTGCTCAGCTGCTGTTCGAAGCAGAGCAGAACTTCAGTTCACTTTGCTACTTCAGGTAAGAAAAGAAATTGCTTACTGGAGTGGTGATAAAGAAAATTAATCTTTTCCCAGTGCAAAAATAGACCTGTCAGGATATGTTTATTAAGTGATTACTATTCATTGATTGCAATTATGGAGGAAGTTATAACTAAATAATAGAGGGTAATCTAGATGAAAAAAATATTGGAAAACTAATAACAAAGTGAAAGAAAGGTATAGAAGTTGTTAATCTTGAACCCATTTCATGACAGAAATTTAAGATGGAGGATTCAGCTTTTCCTTAAATCATCTGAATGTTTTTTAAAACATGCTGTTATAAAACGGATCTGTTACTTTCACTGAAAATAATATCTGGATGTTTAAAACTGTTGTTTTTAAATGCTTGCAGAGGATGTTCTGCATATAAACTGTCAAGATAGCATTCCAAGGACAGTGATATATATGGAGATCTTATGAAACAGTCAGAAATGCCATTTTAAAAGTGTAATTCCATCTGTAATTCATATCCCTGGAGCATGGTCTCTTATTAAGTTATTGGTAAAAATCTCACTAGGAGACCAGTAAAAGCAGGATTTAATCCTAAGTATTTACAAGTAAAATTTAAATTTGCAAATGGATCTTTTAAGGTGAGCTCTGACCAGAAGGTGATACGTGTGAGGTTTGCTTTGGGGCTGCCTGTCAAATTCCCAAGCCTTGCCCTTGTCTGCTCGTGACCTCCATTAGAGGTAGGTCAAGCACTCCTTTTTAGACAGAAAGTGGGAGAAGGTTGTACTCAAGGCTATTTGGTAATATGGATACTCTGCTGCAGATTTTCATCCAGACAGTTCTTATATTTTATGTTCTTTTTTTTATTATTATTTTTTCATGCAAATGAACTATATTCCTGGTACATTGAAGCTGAACCTCCACCTGCCTGCCTGACAGAACACAAGCAGGTGATGAGTCCATCTCTTCAGGCTCTGCTTGGGTTCATTTATCTTAGAAAAAAACCCTTAAGATCATCAGGTCCAGCCACAAACCTCACACTGTTCTGGTCTTGGTAGGGCTTTCTGAAATCTAACTCCAGAGCTGGGGATCAGCAACTTTCCCCCACTGGGTCCTTGGCCCTAAAACTGTCAAAATTGGAGAACAAGGGGTTTGGAAATCTGTATTAGCTCAGTATCTTCTATGTTTTCAAGGCCTTGAATAAAGGGGAAAGATTTGAAAAAAGTTAGGATTCCGTCACCTACATGGTGGAAAATAACCTAATATTTTCAGATGCATAAAAATATACAGAAAAAAAGAAAGGACTTTGTGTCTAGGATGATTAAGAAGTTTAAGTTATAGTAAAAGATATTTGTGTTAGGAAAAAACATGTTACCAATAAATGAAAAACTGAAGGAGATTGTCCAACCAAATTGTGAATTCCTCATCAATGGAATTTTTAGGAACCATTTAGACAAACACTTGTTAGGAATAAGATAAGTAATTCATCCTGCCCTGGGGCAGCAGCCTCACCAGAAATCATTGAACTCTATGAGCTCTCTTCCTTTTAAATGAGCTTAGGAGGAAGAATGCCTTCAAAGGAGTTTATTTTTAATGGCCTACCTTAAGAGTTATGCTGTCATTCCCTTTAAGAATCCAATGCCACTCCTGGAAGTAGAATTGATAATTTATCCAGCCAGGGAGACTGAT